TGGTGTAAGAGGCATCTTCGGGAACAAAGGCGGGTCCGAGCTGGGGGGAGGAGCCGCCCAAGGGGTTCTTAAGGAGGACCACGTGACGAAGGCGTGGTCCTCGTAGGGAGCGGCTGCAGGGGGTCTCTCTCCTCGTCGTGGAAGCGGTGTTGGCTGAACCCCCGCTCCGGGCAGACGGGTGAGAGAGCCCGAGGGATAGCCGAGGGTAGGGTCCCGTAGTATTCAGCAAGGGTCGGCTGGAAGAGGGTCTCTCTCTGCTCGTTGCGGAGCGGTGTTGGCTGAACCCCCGGTCTTGGCAGACGAGTGAGAGAGCCCGAGGGATAGCCGAGGGTAGGACCCAAATAGTATTCAGTATCCGGGGTAAAAGACCGAGATAGAGTGAACCTACGATGGTGTGAGCGTAGGATATCGAGTGTGACGATGATTCAATAAACGGCAACAGCCCTTGTAGAATTCATCGTCTCCGCGTGGTTCTACTGGACAACACAAGTGTTAGATGCGACATCCGGGTGTCGTTTTAATTCTCGACTTTTATTGCTTTCAGCATTGTACAGTACAACGTCGCATATCCGACCTTCACGTATCCGTCCGTGCATAAGTGCCCCGGTGAGGTGGATATGCGGGTTTGTACCGTAACACATTGAACAGTTATTCACATGCTCTTGTAACTTAAGGTACGCTTTTGTCCACATCGAGCCAAAGTGAACGTAGGTTCGTGAGGTTTTTATATCTTTAAATTGGATACATCTTGATTTATAAACAATATACACAGGGACTCCTCTACTTACGAATAAGTAAGGTTCCAGAGGTCTGTTCGTAAGTCGATTTGTTAGTAAGTCCAACTTTACTCGTGTCGCTTCCAAACACGTACGGCGTGAACACTAAACACGGGGAATGGCTTTAAAAGTTGTACAATGTATATGGCATTGGCTCTTCACGTTCTGCAGATGTAGATGCCACTGGTTCTTCACGTTCTACAGATGTCGATGCCACTGGTTCTTCACGTTCTGCAGATGTCGATGCCACTGGTTATTCATGTTTTGCAGATGTAGATGCCACTGGTTCTTCACATTCTGCAGATGTAGATGCCACTGGTTCTTCACGTTCTGCAGATGTAGATGCCACTGGTTATTCACGTTCTACAGATGTAGATGCCACTGGTTCTTCACGTTCTGCAGATGTAGATGCCACTGGTTCTTCATGTTCTGCAGATGTAGATGCCACTGGTTCTTCACGTTCTGCAGATGTAGATGCCACTGGTTCTTCACGTTCTGCAGATGTAGATGCCACTGGTTATTCACGTTCTGCAGATGTAGATACCACTGGTTCTTCATGTTCTGCAGATGTAGATGCCACTGGTTCTTCATGTTATGCAGATGTAGATGCCACTGGGTCTTCATGTTCTGCAGATGTAGATGCCACTGGTTCTTCATGTTCTGCAGATGTAGATGCCACTGGTTATTCACGTTCTGCAGATGTAGATGCCACTGGTTCTTCATGTTCTGCAGATGTAGATGCCACTGGTTCTTCACGTTTTGCAGATGTAGATGCCACTGGTTCTTCACGTTCTGCAGATGTAGATGCCACTGGTTATTCACGTTCTGCAGATGTAGATACCACTGGTTCTTCATGTTCTGCAGATGTAGATGCCACTGGTTCTTCATGTTATGCAGATGTAGATGCCACTGGGTCTTCATGTTCTGCAGATGTAGATGCCACTGGTTCTTCATGTTCTGCAGATGTAGATGCCACTGGTTATTCACGTTCTGCAGATGTAGATGCCACTGGTTCTTCATGTTCTGCAGATGTAGATGCCACTGGTTATTCACGTTCTGTAGATGTAGATACCACTTGTTCTTCACGTTCTACAGATATAGATGCCACTGATTCTTCATGTTCTGCAGATGTAGATGCCACTGGTTCTTCACGTTCTACAGATATAGATGCCACTGGTTCTTCATGTTCTGCAGATGTAGATGCCACTGGTTCTTCACGTTCTGCAGATGTAGATGCCACTGGTTCTTCACGTTCTGCAGATGTAGATGCCACTGGTTATTCACGTTCTACAGATGTAGATGCCACTGGTTCTTCATGTTCTACAGATGTCGATGCCACTGGTTCTTCACGTTCTGCAGATGTCGATGCCACTGGTTATTCATGTTCTGCAGATGTAGATGCCACTGGTTCTTCACATTCTGCAGATGTAGATGCCACTGGTTATTCACGTTCTACAGATGTAGATGCCACTGGTTCTTCACGTTTTGCAGATGTAGATGCCACTGGTTCTTCACGTTCTGCAGATATAGATGCCACTGGTTCTTCACGTTCTGCAGATGTAGAGGCCACTGGTTCTTCACGTTCTGCAGATGTAGATGCCACCACCACCATCTATTGTACGGCAGTTTAACTTATATCTCTCAGTCCGAACAGGCAACCGGACATATGGACAGCTTTGTTCCTATCTCTGAAAGTTCGTAGGTCGAATGTTCATAAGTAGAGGAGTCCCTATAACTCAATTATTGTATTTGTACATTTTGTATAATAATAATAAACTCAATACTTATGCAGAGTAAACATCGTTCGAACTCAACCGTTGGCCAATTGTTTGGCGAAGCATCCAAGGTTGAAATGTTACCGCGTGAGTTTCTCTCTCGCACCCTGTACTCCGTGTCACTCTCTCCGGTTTGACTTCGCGTCGTCGTCATCGTTGTTGTAACCGCGTTTCGTTCGGCTCACGCGATGTCCGACGTTTCGCACCACTGGCTGGGGAGGGGGGGGCTTCTTCAGGCAAACAGGCTGCCCAAGTCCACCTACTCTACTTTAACATTCAATTTGAATAAATGTCCATTATCCTAGCTTCAAAGACAATATCAGTCTTGGAAAGTGCCTGTTAACGTTTGGCAGGATGCACATTCCTATCTCTCTTCTGCCAATTATTGCCTGGAGGCAGTTTTGACCAACAACCCAACCGCCCCTTCATCATTGGTGACAACTTAAAACGGGTGGCAGCTGCTGTGGGCGTTGTTTAGAAGCGACATCGCCACACACGTGTTGAGATGTCCCTCTTGATAAACTCCACGCGCAGCTCAGCCTCCGATGTAGTGTAGCAGGCACAACCATTATTGCCTGCAGCAGGCTACTGAAAGACTCTGAGTAACTTCTTCTGGAAGGAGCTCCCAGGATGTGTGGCGAAACGTCAGACGTCGCGCCGTACAACACGCGGCGCACCGGAGAAGCGTCTGTCTTCACATCCCTCCCACGAGTGGAGGCCGATGGCAAGGTCTGCAAGGATCGCGAAACTGTTGTCCCGTAACCCTGGCCGAGTGAAATTACTCCGACGGACAGGTCTGGCCGCAAATGATAGCCCAACGAAGTGGCTTATCATCATCGCGTGGACATTTATAAGCAGCCAAATTCTCTTAAGCGCATGACGTTGATTCTTCAATGTGGAGGGGAAAACCGGAGGACCCGGAGAAAAATCCACGCGACCACGGGGAGAGAGAGACACGCAAACTCCGAATATACAGCAGGTGTTCAAGGTCAGCATCGAACTCACGACCTCATGTATACCAGGCGAGGTAGTTAACATCTCGCCACCGTGGCGGTCACAGTATTACTGGGCTGCCAAGAACACGCCTCCTGAGAAGTGGCCAGGTACACCACAGGTGGTTCACAGGTGGTTCACAGGTGGTTCACAGGTGGCTCACAGGTGGTTCACAGGTGGTTCACAGGTGGCTCACAGGTGGTTCACAGGTGGCTCACAGGTGGTTCACAGGTGGTTTCACAGGTGGCTCACAGGTGGCTCACAGGTGGTTCACAGGTGGTTCACAGGTGGCTCACAGGTGGTTCACAGGTGGCTCACAGGTGGTTTACAGGTGGTTCACAGGTGGTTCACAGGTGGTTCACAAGTCAAAGCACTGGTGCAGTTACTGCCGGGATCCTGGGTTCGAATCTGTGTCGAGGCCGTGCGCCACTAAACCGCGTTTTCAAGCGTAGGAAGTTGATGGCCCTGTTACTCCACGGACGTCACGGTAACATTTGGATTCGCTTCTTTGGTCGTGGATAAATGACAACTCTGAGAATGTCAGCCTTGGCCCCCGCCCTCCCCCCTACAAAGTGTGGATAAGAAGTGACTTGAGATTTTCGGAAGTAGTTCTGGGAATGTCCCCTTCCTCACACCGTACACTCTGTTACGGGGCGGGGGGGGTGAATATCCAGAATAGCCGGTGCAGAAATATAATTTGCACGTGAGGTTTGCAAAGAGGCCAGCCTGAGATTTTGCGTGAAATCAAATTGTCACGGTTTGGGAAAAAACTAACTTGTAAATGAAAAAGGGGTAAAATGAAAATATATATATTTTACAACATTCTGACCGGCTATTTTACTCCAGATACATTTGTTTTTGCATTAACGCCAAGAAGTGCGATGAATTTTTGGCCTGAAATGGCCATATCGCTGCCGCGGGAATTATTACCTGATGTGAGCTGGCAATCACAGGACCCCGAGAGCTGAAGACGGGTGTGGGGGGGGAGGCCTTAGTCCAGCAGTGGATAGACCACTGCTAATGACAATGGCGATCTGGCAGAGACACGAGGTCGTGCAATAGAGTTCGTTTCAATTGTCCTCGGGAAAGACTTCTCCCCACTTCACCGATTTATAGAAAGTCAAAGGTAAAGGCGCAGCTCCTAACAATGTCTTGGTAATATCACTGCTGGTAGAAAGACCTCCACGAGACGGAGCTCTTAGAGTAACCCCTCTAGTTTGTATTTGGCCTACTCTTCCACGCTGGCCATACGCCTTGGACATCGGTGGTAGTAGCCACACATTACCCCCGCCACCGCGCGACCTGCCCATCGACTTAACTGTGGTGTGCCCGGTGATCCCGCGGTGGATTTCAGAAACGTGCCCCATCATTCAACGACACGGGACGGCTGAAATCCCCCGCAGCAGGTAAGGGGCAAATCACTCATCACGCGCGCGCGCGTACACACACTCGCAGCCTACGCGGAAATCCACATCATGAACAGGTGCGATCCTTGGTGGTGGAAGATGTTGTTTATCCGGCCGCGGCTGCAGTCGAGCGTGAAGAAGAGCGTCGCGTCGGCCTCCACGGACAGGCTTCCCCGCAGGCTGATGGTGCTCCACTGGCTGCCCTCCATCACTCGCCCAGCGACCTGCTGCAGGAGGGGCGCGACTGGGCCCCGGCCCTGCAGCTGCAACGGCGGCTCGCTCTGCAGCCCACGCAGCGACAGGCGCACCGTCTCGCACGAGTGGATCAGCCGCAGGTGGAACGAGACGCTCACCGCGCCGGCCGCCGCCAGCCGGAACGCTGTCCCGAGTGGCGCCCCTCCGACTCCAGCAGCCCTGGCCCCCGTCGGGCGCCGCCACGGTCCGGAAGCGCAGGGCCTTGTTCCGCACGGCGCCGGTGCCCACGCCGGACTTGTCCAGGGCGGCCGAGAGGACGGCGGCGGCGGAGCCCGGCACCCACAGGAGGCTGGCGACGCTCACGCCGGACGCGTCGCCGAAGAGGCGCACGCTGCAGTGCTGCGACGTCGCCACGTCGAAGCTCAGCTGGTCGCCCGCCCGCACCTCCACGGCGCCGGCGGCCGACACGGCCGTGTCGCGGTAGGTGACGCCCGGGAAGTAGACGCGCGTCACCTCCCGCTCTCCCCGGCGCTGCCGTTGCGGCTCACGTGAACGCCCAGCGAGTAGCCGTCGCGGATGCAGCCGTGGCCGACGGAGTAGAGCGCCTGCCGGTAGGCGAACTTGACGACGCCCGCCTCCGAGAAGGTGAAAGCCGCGCAGTCGTGGTTCACCGTGATCACGTAGGGGTCCGACACCTGCGACACCTTAAAGGAGGGGCGGTAGTTGGAGTTGTAGTGGGCCGCCGTGTTGGTGTGCGCGTGCAGGGACACGGCCCCGGTGTCGTGCGACAGCCACAGGAAGCTGAGCGAGCCCGGCAGGAGGTCCGGGTGGGCGTACTCTCCGCCGCTGCGCTCGCAAGGCTGCCCCGGGCTTCTCAGGTAAACCGAGAACTGGTGGCCGGGCTCCAGCTCGGCCGTGGAGCTCAGGGACGCGCTCCGCCGGAAGCGCTTGTCGTCCTCCGTCGGCTCGATCCTGGCCGCCACGAGCTCGTCGCGGTGCCCGCCGCTGCGGTTCAGCCTCAGCGACACCTGCAGGAAGCCGCGGCAGCTGTGCTTGGCCGCCACGTTGAGGTCGGCCCACACCAGGCCGTGCTGCCCGAACGCGACGGATCGCCCGCCGACCACCTGGATTTGGGCGAAGCCGAGCAGCGACTCCGTCTCCCGGGTGGGCGCGACGCGCAGCGCGATCCCTTCGCCGCCCGGCATCAGCTCCGAGAGGTTGGCGGGCCTGTCGCGGGGCGGCGGCAGCTCCACGGAGCCGACCCACGCCGCCGCCAGTTTGCCGGGGCCCGGCAGGCAGGAGGTGTCGGCGTCGGTCGTGCAGGGGCTCAGCATCAGCCCGTCGGGGCAGCCGGAGCACGCCTGGCACTCGCCCGTCTCGTAGCCCAGGTAGTAGCCGTCGGCGCAGAGCGACGACTCGTCGTCGTCGTCGTCGTGAGAGATGATGATGCCCACGCAGCGGTACCCTCCTGCCAAGGGTCGGGGCGGGAGGGGTCACAAAAAACAAAGAACAAAGATCGTCCGTGTAGCCTTTACAGACTGTAAGGGCAAGTGCTGTTAGCGAGCACCTATGGAGGCCGGCACGGCACACAACGGGGTGGGTGGCCAACACCACGCCCGGCCGCCTTTGTCTCCCTAGTGATGTGTTGTACGGTGTGTACACTAAACATGGAGAATGGCTGTAAAAATTGTATAATCTCCTGTAGATGTAGATGCCACTGGTTCTTGACGTTCTGTAGATGTAGATGCCACTGGTTCTTCACGTTCTGTAGATGTAGATGCCACTGGTTCTTCACGTTCTGTAGATGTAGATGCCACTGGTTCTTCACGTTCTGCAGATGTAGATGCCACTGGTTCTTCACGTTCTGTAGATGTAGATGCCACTGGTTCTTCACGTCCTGTAGATGTAGATGCCACTGGTTCTTCATGTTCTGTAGATGTAGATGCCACTGGTTCTTCACGTCCTGTAGATGTAGATGCCACTGGTTCTTGACGTTCTGTAGATGTAGATGCCACTGGTTCTTCACGTTCTGTAGATGTAGATGCCACTGGTTCTTCACATTCTGCAGCTGTAGATGCCATTGGTTCTTCACGTTTTGCAGATGTAGATGCCATTGGTTCTTCACGTTCTGCAGATGTAGATGCCACTGGTTCTTGACGTTCTGCAGATGTAGATGCCATTGGTTCTTCACATTCTGCAGCTGTAGATGCCACTGGTTCTTCACGTTCTGCAGATGTAGATGCCACTGGTTCTTGACGTTCTGCAGATGTAGATGCCATTGGTTCTTCACGTTCTGCAGATGTAGATGCCACTAGTTCTTGACATTCTGCAGCTGTAGATGCCACTGGTTCTTCACGTTCTGCAGATGTAGATGCCACTGGTTCTTCACGTTCTGCAGATGTAGATCCCACTGATTCTTCACGTTCTGCAGATGTAGATGCCACCACCGCCATCTATTGCGCGACGGTTAAACTTAACGACTCTCGGTCCGAAAGGGCAACTGGACATACGGACAGCTTCGTTCGTATCTCTAAAAGTTCGTAAGTCGAATGTTCGTAACTAGAGGAGTCCCTGTACTCCGAGCGCAGATGGGCACAGGCCCTGACACGGACCGGGCCTCTGCCGATAGGGACTCTCCTCCTCTCGAGCAAGATGAATGTGAGATGTAGGAAAGAACCCAGAGTGTAGTGGCATGTTCCGAGGGTGGGTGTGGGGTGTCTAGCACCTTTATACCCCTAACCCGAGCCGACCCCAAACCTCACGGTCACAGATTTGGCGTTGTGGTTCCAGAATAAACGGCGTCTCAGTCTTGCCGTCTCATTTCTATTGTTCCCCCCCCCCGCTCCCGCCTCTACTCTATCACCTGGAACAGAATCACACGGAGGAACAGGAAGAGTTCAAACGTTTCGCGGGAGAGCGCGGACGTGAGGAGTGACCACGAGGGGACGTCCACGGGCAGGGGACGCCGTTTTAGGTCGAGACCGGCGAAGGCAAAGGGCAGCGCGAGAGCGAGCGAGCGAGCGAGAGGGATCACCGCCGCAGGGACTGGGGGAGACATTAATCCAGCAGTGGATAAACAATGGATGCCGATGATATACTCGTTGGTTCTTTCGGTAAAGTCACGTATAAAGAGAAAATCATAATTTAAATAATAATTTATTATTAGTACCAAAAAACCGTGCTCCTCTGAGGTGCTGCCTCAGTGTCATTCCGTAGCAGCCTTGTATATAGCGATCTCTGGGTATAAACTATCTAGTCAAGGAACTATAAACCATCGCGCAAACTCTGGTAATCCTTGCAGCAGCGGCTTTTGGCTACACTCTTTGGTTCTTTCGGTAAAGTCACGTATGTGAAAAAAAAAAGTAATTTAAATCACGACGTTTCGATTGCAATACAAGCAATCATCATCGGGTATAAATGAAATAGAAAACAAACCTAGTAAACTTAGAAATATAATGCAATACAACACAGAGAGTCGGCTAACATAACAGTCAACACCCTACCTGGTTGATTATGTTCTTCCAGAGAATGTAAAATTTGAGAGAGAGAGATAAAACACAGAACCGGAGACATATAGACAGACACACAAGCAGAGAGAGATAACACAGAGACACATAGAGAGAGACACATACATAGGCACACAGAGAAACCACGCCTCTGTGTCGAGGCCTTAAATAGAGAGGGGGGGGGGCGGAGAGAGAGGGGGGGGGGTAGAAAAATTAGCAAGTCAATGAGTGGCACGGAGCCTGCGCAAAAACGACAAAACGACAAAAATTAGGGGAGACAGAGAGAGAGAAGCACACTAAATCAAATAAACCTAAAAAAAATTCGAAATGTAATGCAATGCAACACAAAGAGTCGGTCAACACACAATTAACGCATAGGCTGGTTGATTACGTTTTTCAAAAGAATGCTAAGTTAGAAGTTCAGTGTGAAATTTTAAAGAGAGACAAGATACAGACACGAAGATAGACATACAAGCAGAGACACACAGAGAGAGCAGAACAAAAGAACGACAAAACGAGGGGAGACAGAGAAACACACAAAATCAAATAAACCTAGCAACATTTCGAAATGTAATGCAATGCAACACAGAGAGTCGGTCAACACACAATTAACGCATAGCCTGGTTGATTACATTTATTTATTTATTATTTTCTCTTTACACGTGACTTTACCGAAATAACCAAAGAGTAATTCCTGCAGTCACGACAGCTCCATGTTAAGTTTGCCGACGATATGGTGGTGGGGTACAGACCTGGTGTGTTCAGGCATTTTCCAGCGCAAAACGTTGGGTTCTCTGTGCATTCATCCTTGTCCTGTGAGCAAGGGGGGGAAAGAAAAGAAACATTGGCATCATCGGAGAAGCCCGCTCCGGCCACGCGTGTGCAGAAAGACCGCGTGCTTAAGTTTAACTTCCTGGCCCTTCCAAGGGAGGCGGACACATGAGTACATCGTGAATAAATATCCATTGTGGGCGAATGTTCGATGTCACGGCAAAAAACGCACAATTGTGGTAGCCAACTGGGAACAGGGCGCGCTCACCCAAACACTCGGACGAATCGGCCAATAAATCGTCGAAAAATTTCCGATCTCGAGCATCTAAGTTGCAAAAACTACGGGGCAAGGGAGGAGGCTGACCATCAAACGTGGAACCCCCTTCACCACCTCTCTTCCAGTGGGCACTGATTCTTAAGAGCATTCATGGGGGGCATTTAGCCACTCCTCCCCCCCTGTTTTTCTCTTCTCCTCTAGGGCTATCGGAGCTTAGGAAGGCACCAGAGAGTTGTCCAGTTTATTGAAACGATTTATTGAAGCGCGCGGTTTAAGGCAGCTTTCCATTGCACCGTAAATCCGTCATGTTTGGTTAGTGCCGGAGTCAACTCGACCCGTCCATATCCTCTGTGTGTATGTACCTTAATCGTCTTGTTACAGACAGACCTGTTACAGACAGACCTGTTCTTCACCTGAGGGCGGCTGCTTGCGTTGTGGCCGAAACGTCGTGAGAATTATTTTATTGTTTTATTTTTATTATTTTCCATCTACGTAACTTTACCGAAAGAACCAAGAAGATGAATCCCTGCAGTCACGAAAGCTTTAAATCGAAATTTAATTATATTTTATTATGTTTTATTTTTATTATTTTATTATTTCCCTTCTACGTGACTTCACCGAAAGAACCAAGAAGATAAAAAATACTTTTGGACGAAAACAAATATTTGTTTGGAACTTTCTTGTCCTCCAGATAAGCAACGAGTGCAACATTTGCCCGCGGCACAAATCGCGTTGACACCGCGCGGAGTTTGCCCTCCTGCGGGAAGTGGCAACTTTGAAACCGCCCGCTCTTCTCGACAAGTCAACTGAAGCGGGGAAAAATCTCCGCGAGAAAAGAAAAGAAACCCTTGTCACGAACGCAACGCCCTCTCGAGACCCCGGGACCACCGGCCGCCAGGCCGCATGCTTTCCTCCCTCGAGGATGCTTTTCCCGCAACAGGGAAGAACACACCTTCTGAGTAAACAGCAGGAACGGGGCGAGCGAAATACAGTGCTACCCAAACAGCGAGCAGACGCAATGGATCACCAGTTCCACTCGCAAGTCCTCGCCCTACCCCCGCCGCCCCCCCCCCCCCCCCCGTATTCAGTTCGTTCCTCGGCTTTGCGGTTCGTCCGTGAAACCTTTTTCCCCATCACATGTCCACGCTGCACTTTTCTTTCAGGCAAAGTGCCTCAGCCTCCTCCTCCTCCTTCCTCGCACTCCGCGCTTTCCCCAAACATCATCGGTCTGCCCGATTCTTACCCTCCACACCACCGCCAAGCCTACCCCCCCCCCCGCCCGCCCCTGGCTAGATTCCAAAGTGAAACCGCTCTCTCGCACGCGACGAAATCCCACAACCGCACGACCTTCCGCGACGCAGAGGTCGTCGGTTGCTTCCCGACGTTGTTCATTTCTGCTCTTAGTTTTTTTTTTTCTTCGGTAAAGTCACGTAGGTAAAAAATGAAGTTATAATTAATAAAAGTAATAATAGGAATAAATAATAAAAATCACGACGTGTCGGAGGCAAGTCGCCGTCATCAGTGGGACCGTCACAGCCAGATTTGCTGTGACAAGTGAGGCAGGGATTCCAAGATGCAAGTTCTTAAATACAAGTTAAGGGGGAGGGGGGAGGAGCTTATCAGAATGTGGTAGCCAATGAATGGAACATATTGGGAGGGGGGGGGGCGGGGCTAAAAGAGAACACGAGGTGTACGTGCACGTGGACGTGTTTGTGCACAAGCCCCTGTTTGGTGCACATGATAACGATTGGGAAGTTGATAATTGTTTTTTTTAACCCTTCTATCTTGCAACAACACTGACACCTTTTTACAAGGAGTCATGTTGCATAGACCACAATGCCTGTAGCCATAATGCAACAAAAAAACACAACTCTGATAATATATGCACTGTCCTTGAAGTTGATTGGTCCACACATTATGGCTGCAGGTATTGTGGTCTATGCAAAACATGACTCCTTGCAAAAAGGTGTCAGTGTTGTTGCCAGATAGAAAAAAAACAACTATCATATTTTGCTACTGCAAATGAGGTTCCAATGGCGTATTGGAAGTTGTTCATTTCTGCAACGCTGGCGATCGCGCGCACCACCCACCTGGCAAAATGCGGTCGGTGCTGCGGCGGCAAGTCTGCAGCTCGGAGAAGCCTGGCTGGCACGACGAGCAGCGGCGGCACTCGGGGCGGCATCCTCGGTAAGTCGCAGAACTCCCCGGCGGCGCAGGGGGCGCAGTCCGATGGGCGCATCGCCGCCGTCCCCTCGTAGCCGCGTCCGGCGTGCGGCGTCGCCGCCCGCGCACCGATATCGCCGGCAGGCCCGGCATCCCCGCAGAGACGGCGGATCCTCAGGAGGCCCGTCGCGTCCTTTCCGTTCCCCAGAGCGCCGGGTGGGGGGTGGTGTGGATAGGCGGTGGTGCTGGGGGTCGACCGGCGGAGAGCGGCGGGTCGATGGCCGGCTGCGGCTGCGGGGGCGTTCCCGGGTTGTCCTCCCAGCGCTGTCGGGTTGTTTTGATTGCGAGGGGAGGTGAAACGCGAGGTCCGCCCGGGTTAGGCCGACGATTTGTGGGGCGGCCGCGCTGACCTCACAAACCATCGTCACGCGAGCTCCGGCTGCCAGCCCTCGCGGCGGCAGTGGCAGGCGGCGCCTTTTGGCTCGGCCGTCGAACACCGCTCGTGTCACACGCGCACACACACACAAGGTGCTTGCCGCAAGTGAGCCACAATACGTGGCTGATCTCGTCAAGAAGCATAGACCATCAGGCGAACTCCGCTCATCCTCGCAGCTACTTTTGGCGAACCATCGAACAAAGATGTTGGGGCACCGCATCGCGCGCTTTCAGATGCGCTTCTGCGGCCGTCTGGAACGCTCTTCCTTGCGATTGTTAGGAAGCCACTGGAAGCTATTAACTATTAAACCATCATGTACATTAAAAGTAATTTCTGATTTTGTGGTTAGTTTGTTGTCCATCCCCCGCACCTCCAATTAGTGCGGTTGGCTACGTACGGTGCAAACGAAGTTCAATGTACGTACGTACTAATGCATGCGCACGTGTCAGTGCAGAACGTGCGCACGGGCTAGTGGTGGAGGGACAGAACCGTACCGCGGTGAAATGTCCTGAACGTGAATCACAATAAACAGACGTTCGCTCCGCAGTTCCTAATGTCTAACAACAACAAACAACACTCCGACGGAGCCCAGGACATTACGCGAGCATCAATTTTTTTTATTTTAACGGGATCGTCGGGAGTTTAAATCGAGTTTCAAATGGCCGTGTCTGGGCCCCACCCCGAACTCGGAACGTTCAACGCCGCGTCGATTTCGCGCCGCTCCCCACCTTCGAGGCGTGCCGATGCTGGGTCCTCAGATCGCTCTCTTGCCGCATCAGCCCCTCCAGGTTCGCGAATTGAGCGGCGAGGTGGCGCTGAGCGTCCAGAACCTGCGGGCGATTCATGCCAAAAGTGAACCTTGTCCTCGACTCCCCAACGCAGAAGAAGAAGCATCCGGAGATGTATTACAGCTTCCTGTAAACAACAGCAGAATGAAGGTCCTGGGAGCAATGGAATTCCCGGTGTTTGGGGCATTTACAGACAAACATGCCCACTGTGTCTACGCTGGGTCTGAGTCTCTCTGCTTTAAACTATGGGCCTCTGTGCGAGCCTTTGGGTCTCTGTGTGAGTCTATGGGTCTCTGTGCGAGCCTATGGGTCTCTGTGTGAGTCTATGGGTCTCTGTGCGAGCCTATGGGTCTCTGTGTGAGTCTATGGGTATCTGTGTGAGTCTATGGGTCTCTGTGTGAGTCTATGGGTCTCTGTGTGAGTCTATGGGTCTATGTGCGAGCCTTTGGGTCTCTGTGTGAGTCTATGGGTCTCTGTGTGAGTCTATGGGTCTCTGTGTAAGTCTATGGGTCTCTGTGTGAGTCTATGCGTGTCTGTGTGAGTCTATGGGTCTCTGTGTGAGTCTATAGGTCTCTGTGCGAGTCTATTGGTCTCTGCGTTGGTCTGTAGGTCTTCGCGTTAGTCTGTGTGTCTCTATGCAAGTCTGTGGGTTTCTACACGAGTCTGTGGTTCTCTGGGCGAGTCTGTGAGTCTCCGCGTGAGTCTCTATGTGGATCCACTTGAAGCGATGGAATCCCGGGTTTTTAGAGCATTATTAGAGAATGAGAGCGAACCATGCGAGCTATTTGTCCTCGCTGCAATGCACTTTTGGTGTTGTTGAGCGTTTATTTTAATGACAACTCAACGCAAGGGGTGGGAGGGGGGGTGGAACAGAGACTCCACGGACAACATCCAAGGCTCGGTGCTTCAGGAGTTTAAAGAAAGGGGGCGGGGGGGGGGGGATTGGGCTCTCTACACCCACCCACGTGGAGACCTCGAGCGTGGAAGTTTATACGGGGAGGAAGTGGGGGGGGGGGGGGGGGGGGGGGGGGGGGGGGGGGGTGGGGGGGGAGGAGGGGGGGGGGGGGGGGGGGGGAAGGTGACGAACATCAATGGACAAAGGCGGAAGGAGTAGGGGGGAGAGGGAGAGAAGGGAGGGCGGTGGGGGGCAGGGTGTTGTGGCGCTTCTTAACCCTTTCCCGCTCCCGAGACGCCTGCCAAGTGGCAGGGTTTCGTTGTCCCGTTCACCTCCGAGTCTCGGAACGCCGCGATCGGCTCAGCGTTAACTAGGGAGGCGCAGCGGCGACGTCGTGTTCATGAAGACGTCGTTACTCACCCGCGGAGAAGCGTGGGGCGGCACGGCCGCCGCCACTCTCGATAGCGGGCCGTGTCGTGCCACGCGGCCCTCCCGCATGGCCTCGTGGGAGCCTCGGTAACGACAAAGTTATTTTACCTCGATTTTTTTTTGTTCTTTTTCCGGTTCCGTTCCGATGACCTATACACCTACGTGCCCGTCATCACGGAATCGGAAGTTAAAAAAAAGTTTAAAAAAAGGTTTAAAAAAACGGTGACGTTCACGCCGCAGCTCCATCGGAAACGGGAAAGGAGTTACAACATTCCCAGGCACATCGGTCCCGGACGTCCAGCCGCAGGCAAGGGACAGGCGGTGCAAAGCGAGCGGGCGCCGTCACCTGCTGCTGCTGCTGCAAGAGCGCATCTGCTGCTCGTTGAGGCCGTGCGTGATCTTGGCGGCTGCCTCCACCTTGCGCTGCACCAGCGCAACAGCTGCTCCTGCCCGTGCACTAGGCGCAGGTGCAGGGACGAGGGCATCCTCCGAAGCCACCTCGTTCTCTCCTACCGCGCAGTTCGGGGGGGACGGAGCCGGTGGTGCGGAAGGAACGGGGAATGCCCGTCGGGATTACAGAACTATAGCGCAGGCCACCGTCTCAACAACAACACCAACGCACAAAAATTTGCATTCAAACTAAACTGGTTTTTTTTGTTTTTATTTTACCAGGTAAGGCCGCACTGAGCTATGTAGATTTTTGTCAGGAGCGGCCTGGCCACAAATGGTAGCTCAACGAAGTGGCTTATCGCGTGGGAAGTTATCGCAGCCAAATACTCTGAACGCGTGATGTCGATTCTAAATGTGTGGGGGGGGGGGGGGGGTGGAAACCGGAGGACCCGGAGAAAAATATACGGGACCACGGGGAGAGAGATAGAGACCTGCAAACTCCAAATTACAACAGGCG